AGCCCCAGGCAGCAGCCGTCTGCTAGTCACACCGGAGGCATTTCAGGACAACAAGAGCAGGAAGGGATCAAATGTTGCTAGATCAATAACCGCATCAGATTTTGTTAGACTGCTTCTGTACAACCCTGAGAAGGAAATAAACAGATACCTAAGGGTCTCGCGTATGCACGCCCCTCATTTCTTCATACAACTCTAAGCAGAAATTAAGAAACACAGTGATCAGGATTTGCAGAAAATATTCTGCTTTTGCATGGCCTTAAGCCATCATATGTACTTGCCCCCTAATACACCAGCATGTGCACTGGCTGTTTGCTTTAAAAAGGGATTGAATGCAGGTGTTTTGTCATAGCCTCTCAGGCTTACACAGGTGATGGCACCTGAAATGTCCCCAGGTGCATGAGGCAGAACAGACTGAATAATCAGTCTGAAAACAGGCCAGTTTAAAACTTCCAGACTGACCATGTCTTTCAGAGCCAACCACTCCATTAGGCGTTTTTGATCCCGATGCTGGTCAGAGATACGCTGTGTCACACCGTGCTGCTTGCCCTCTGGCTTTGGCAGCTCATTTCACTACTGAACAGAATCGGGGTGAATGGAAATTTGCCCACCTCTGAAATTAAAATCCAGAAGTGTTGGTAACTGCCAAAAGGCATCTCTCTCAAATATCACGTGTAGTATCTGTGTGGATTTACAAATGTTTAAAGATTCAACAGTGTTGCTGCATAGTTATGTTTGTTTGTAATGACCTGCTTTTTAACTTCTCTCCCTCAAAGCCCTGTATTTTATACAGATAAAGAGCCAGAAAAAAAATTGCCAAGAACTGTTGTTTTCTAGGAAACAGAGGCAGCAGTCCAAATTCAACGTGGGTAGGAGTAAAAGGTTTCTGTTGGTTAAAACTGACTTACATATTTTCTATTCATTATTTTCTAATTATCAACATGTGATATGAACACCAACCAGTTCTGATTTTAAGGATTTAAAATGAATATACTTGCCTGTCAGCAGGTGGCTCTGTGTTAAGAGCGAGCTCTGTTCTTGATGTACGCACGGAACTGGAACTGTTTCAAACAATCTGTTTTATTTTTTAAGCCAACAGGAAGATAATAAAGGCCTATGATTTGTCAGTAGGAAAGATACTTGTCAGAGGAAAGATAAGTAAATTAAAATCTCTTGCTTGAAGGGAACTGTGGCAATGCTGACATTACGCTGCTAGAGGAAATGTCTAGTCATTTTAAGAGTAGCCGTGTCAGCTCTGCTAGATGTGCAACCAGGTTTTCAGGTACTGCATCAAGCATTTTATTTCTGTTTGAGGGTTTGGATTTTTGTTTTCTTTTAAAAATCCCTACTACTTATATAAAGGGCATTTTTGAAGTATGATGTCACTGAGTGACAACAAGTGTTGGTGGAAGCACTGGAACATAGGATCTTATCTATTTTACTGCAGTAAATAGGAATTTTTCCATTTCTTTCAATGGGAGTAGGATTGGCTCCTCAGCACTTCACGGTACCAGGCTGGGGGTTGCTGCAGTGGCTCTCTGGCAGGGCTGCAGATCAGCTGGAGTCTGAAGCTAATCCAGCTGCAGCAACGGCTTCATGGATATATAACAATATATCCTTGTTTGAAGCTGTTTGTGTAGCTATCAAAACAATGTTTGTGATCTAGCCCAGGAAGCTTTGCAGCTCTTGAAGGTAAAGGTCGACTCAGGGATCCCCTGCACCCTGAGCTGCACGTGTGACTATTGTTTCTCAGTTTGGCATTTTTCAGTCTTTCTTTGGAAACCGAATTTGCGTGCTGCTCTGCACATGCGTCTTGTCCAAAGGAAATTACAATTTAAGTAGATAAACAATGTAACATGTACTGGATAAATGAGAGGAATGTGCTTTCCCAGTATTTCAGTTTCTTATTTTAATGGTGGGAAGCAGTTGTCTTTCGTAAGCAGGTGAGAGGATCCTGTGCAAATGTATATTTAAGAGCCTTTATGAACATATGAGAATAGTGAACTTGAGTTAGGTTTTGAGAGAGAAAACTGGCTTATACTGGATGACTGGGCTGTGGAGAGGGTACAATGTTTAAGGATTGGGCAAAAAAGGAACAATATGTTAGCCACAGCTAAATATTCCCGGCCATTTCCATAGTTCAGCATATAGGTTGAATTAAATGTACTTACAGCACTTATGCTGAAGATGTTTTGATTTTTTTCATGAAATTCAGAAAGAAACTACATCCTTTTCTGAAATTCAGTCTGACATATCTTCTAGTCATACTAATCCTGTTCTGCAACATTCTGCTTGGCGGTGAATTATTTCTCTGTAATTAGAGCTTTATTTTCAGTTTATTTGGGGATAGGGGGATTTCTGTTTGTTTTCAGTATTCTACTCCACTCATGGTATTGGTTTACCTCAGGTTAACATAAAGCCAGGCTTTAAGGGAGCAAAGAAGTAAATCAGATTCCTGAGGTTCCCTGTGTACCTTACTTTTCAATACAGCCTTGCAATGGCAGAGAGCTACTGCTTGTCACATTACTGTCATGCTGCATTGCAAAGAAGTTTTCCAGTCTTTTGGTTACAGACTGGTGCTACTTAGCACATGTTGTTCAGTTTGCTTTTTTTAAGTTTTAAAGCAATGAAGATCAGTTTAGATCTCCAGGCGTCCTAGGGTACAGTTGTTTACTGCTAACATCTGTATGCTGGTGATGCATATTTTCTTCTTCCTTTGTGTCTTGGAAGAAGTGTTGCCAAAGGGTCCTGTAACAGCCACTGAGGAGGGATCACAGAATTGCAGAATTGCTGAGGTTGGAAGGCGCCTCTGGGGATTGCCTAGTCCAACCTGCCTGCTCAGAGCAGAATCAACTAGAGCAGGTTGCTCAGGGCTGTGTCCAGTGGGGTTTTGAGTATCTCCAAGGATGGAGACTCTTGCCTCTCAGGGCAATCTGTGCCAGTGCTCAGTCACCCTTCAAATAAAAAGCAAACAAACTTTTTCTTATGTTTAAGCAAAATTCTTGTAGTTCAATTTGTGCCCATTGCTTCTTGTTCTGTCACTGGATACCGCTGAGAAGAGTCTGACTCCATCTTCTTCACTCCCTCCCACCAGGTATTTATGTACTTTGATAAGATCCTCTCGAGCCTTCTCTGCCCAAGGCTAAACAATCCCAGCTCTCTTAGCCTCTCCTCCTATGTCAGATGCCCTTAATCATGTTAGCGGCCCTTTGCTGGGCTTGCTCCAGTATGCCTATCTCTCCCCTGGTACTGGGGAGCCCAGAACTGGACCCAGCACTGCAGATGTGGCCTCACCAGGGCTGAGCAGAGGGGAAGGGTCACCTCCTTCAACCTGCTGGCAACACTCCTCCCAGTGCAGCCCAGGACACCGTAAGGCTTCTAAGCCTTTAATTGAAGTCATTGCCCACAGGAACCAAATTCTAGATGAAATATGGAGAATACTGCCTGTGGGCCCCTAGGTAAATGCTCCAATACATGCAAATTTCTTTAATACTGTGAGATTAGCTAGTGTAATCAAAGGGAAAATATCAGTCCTTCAGCACGTATGAAACATCCCGATACTTGCTCTGTAAAATCTGACAAGCTCAGCAAGACACACTGCAAAGGAATCAGCCACCAACCATTTTCCTGGAGTTTACAGCTATTTCCGCTCTTTATTCTAGCAGAAAGCACCATTTGACACTAGGCCAGCAAGCCTGGAGGTATAAAATGTTCTCCACCAGTGAGCCGGTGAGGGGTGCAGACACAAACTGGGATAGCTCCAGGAAGCTGAGCACCGTTTGCTTACAAGAGGAAGCACTTGCTTTTCAGAGCACAGGCATCTTTGTGCCAGTGTTCACGGAGAAAATCTTCATCCGTCTTGGATGGCTAATTACAGATGCACTTATGTACTCCATGATGTATGTAGCAGAAAATATTCGCATTTTACAACAGCTGGTAGGGAAAAGAGTCCACGTGTTTAAGCATTTTGGGGGATTTAAGTTTCTGGCTAATGTACTGCACTAGCTGGGCTATGAATGCTTGTGCTCACACGGAGAGCTGCCAGACACGCATGCTGAGCGAAGTTTCGTCTGGCTAGCAAGAAAAAACAAAGGGAGGACAAACTCCGGTACAGTTTATTTCAGTCAATATGTGTAGTCAAATAGTTTTAAGGCTGTACTTTGATGAAAACTTTGAACTCACGTAATGTGGCACCATCTGTGAATGGAGCCGTCCTGCCTGCCCCCTCGCTACCCCCTTTGGTGCCTGAAGTCAGCTGCTTGTGGTGGCCAGGGGCTGAATTGGCTTGGGAAAATGATCTGTCTGTAAAATAATCCCTTTTTTGTTTACTGGGGTACTTTACAGGCAGATCACTTCACTCATCTGGTCCACTGGAAGGGTTCAGAAATGTTTGTACTGGCACACGGGCGGCAGAGGAGGTGGGGGAGACAGGATTGCTGCTCCACACACACGCATGCCAGTTTAGCACACTTGAACTACAGCCCAAATAAAATCCAAAACTGCATCCCGGGCACAAACGAGAACTTGTGAATGGGTTTCTGCACCTCTCCCTTCCCACCACGCTTGGCTCCTGGCTTCGCAAATCGCTGGTGCGTGCCACTGAAGTCGATGCATAGATTTCCCTGCTTTGACGAGCTCTGGGACGCCAGCGCACACCCGCCCTAAGTGGGTCAGAGACTTTCTTTGTACGAGCAGGCTGAGCTGCTGGGAAACCTTGCTGGAGCCATACTCCTCTCCCAGAGTGATGAGGGGGACGGGGTGAGGAGGGGGAGCAGATGAAGTGGGGCTGAGCTTCCACCACACTTGATCCACTGCCAGCATAAGCTTCCTTACCGGGCTTACGGCCACGGCAGAAGTCCGAGTAAAGCCCCGGCTGCTCCCACGGCTGCCGAAGCTAAGTGCCCTGGGATCAGAGCGGTGCCACCAAGCTCCGCATCTGTCACTTGGATCTCTGCAGTGCTGAGAAAGTGGGAGGAGGGTGAATAAGAGACAAGTGAGCCTATTAGTATTTATTATTTGTATTATTACAGCACCTCAGTGCCTAGTCGTGGACCAGAATCGCATCCTATTAGCACTGTGCAAACCCAGAGCCAAAGTACTATAGTCCCTGCCCCAGAAGGCTTACAATCTCCATTTCTGAACGGGGGGGGGGCAAAGAGATGGGGGGCGGTAAAAGGGAGCAGTGACAAAACGTTGATCACTGTGACAGACAGTGTTGGTTTTCTGGTAAGAACTATCAGTTCTTAAACGCTTAGTTGGATTTAGACATTCTTCACACAGTCAATACTTCTATTTCTTGTGAAAAAAAGCATCAAGAAATCACACAGAACTTTATGTTATATTCAGTGAAAAACATTTTTCATTGCAAGAAACACATGTAAGGTTATTTTTAAAAAATACTGAAATACTGTTTGTTTTTTATGTTCTAAGCAGGTATCTGAACACGTTTACAAAGTCTACACATGCAGTGTATCAAGAAAGTTAAAATTTTTTAACCAACTTACTTTTTTGGCTCATTCCTTTATTTAATTTACACTCTTGCAAAAACGAGATACCTTTTAATTCAATTTTTAAAGAAAAAAATAGAAGTGATTTCATCTCAACTACTTTTCTGGACACACTTGTATTTTCCCTGTGCTCATGATTTAAAAAATAATCTAAATAGAAATGATCACCTTGGTGGAATTAAAACCAATGCTAGATACAAGGATAGAGAACAACTGTGTATTTAGGAAATGTATGTAACTGATTTTACAGGTTTCTCTGATCAAAAAGTGCGATTACAACTTTGTGCAAGAAGGGCATGTGATTTACAACTTTTTGCAAGCATATCTTATGCGCATATTTTTTAATAACTTGCCTGTAAGGGGCCAAATCCTGCTGTTCTGCTCAAAGTTTCTCTAAAATCAACAGCTCCTTGACACTGTGCTCTATTCCGCTGGCCTCCTACTGTGTGTCATAGTTAATACTGTGAATAACTCAGCGGAGTTCAATATTCCTGGTTTTAACTATAATTACTCTATGGTAGTAAGTGTTTGCAGGTTTGAATATCTTACAGAGGCCTGTAGGACAGTATGGTTTATCCCCATGCAGAGGGATGAAGGGAAACAAGACCTAGCTGGACAGTCTGTAAAACCATTAAACGTTTTCCATGATCAGCTCTGTTACTTGCCATTTGGATAGCCCCCACCGAAATCACATAAGTAACCTATACTCTTCACCTGAAAATAACTTCCAATATTAGCTTCCTTCTATGCATTCTCTAAATTGCTGTAAACATCCAGGACACCCATATATATACACACACACACACGGGTATGTGTGTGTATACATGCATATACATGTATAGGTGTATATATACACACATACACACAGACATACATGTATGTACATATACATATATATGGATATATAGCTATGACGTAGTTAGGAAACAATAATGTCCTTTTTATTGCATTCTTAAGTTTCATAGAACAAGGGTATTATAGGCACACATCTTAACTACTCGTCCTTACTACAGTCCTAAAGCTCATTTACCTGAGATCTGCATCTGTAAAAATAAAGTTCCTTTTTTAGCTGCATGTTACAAAAGACTAAATATCAGCCCCACAGATATGAAATTACAACTTAATTTTGAGACTAATTTACTACAAGTAAAATATGCTATCTTATAAAAAAGATACTGCTGAAAAGAGATACATATTAAAAAGGAAACATGATTCTTAGAGGTTTAAAAATCTCCCTATGCCTTCCCACATTGTAATAAATTTATAAAAAATATTTGACACAGAAGATCTCCACAGAAAGCATCCTGCTGAAATCACGTACCCTTTAAGCCACCCATCTTGCAAAAGTTACGTAGTTCAGGAGGGCAGACTCCATATTGTAAGTATTTAATTTTCATCATCCCGTCTGTAGTGAATAGTTTGTATTTCCTGAGCTATGAACATAGCCAGCTCTCTGGTGCCCGCAGCAATCACTCGGCAGGACATAAGATCCAGAGGTCCCCCTGAGGACAAGAGGATTAATGAGAACTGTCTTACGTGATGTAAAAAGGCAATGTGTTCTTAAATATAAACCATGCTGTAATTAGATAGGGTCAGAAACACTGAAACAACTTCATACGTAGCTCGTTTTGGGGTGGGAATGACAACCTAATTCAGCAACTCCTACCTGGAAATTTCCGGCAAAAAATGATTTCAGAAAATTCTAGATACAGTGCCGAAGTATGCAACAGAAGCAGTGAATGTCTAGATTTGTTCAGTATCCAACAATAAATGCAATATTCCCTTCTTTCAGCAACAGGAAGGGATAGAACAGAAATTAGCTCAGTTGGCATACCCTTCTTCTTAATCCACCATATCTTTCCACAGTACCCAATATTGGTCACCAGTAAATCATTACTCCGAGATGCGTACCATCTAAATGAGTAAAATAATAATCCGGAGACTGTGCTGTCCTTTACTCCCTCTGAGTTGTTCCTAGGCATGTGTGTTCAGACACGTACCCCAGAGTCCTCCTTTCTCGGGAGTTTGGAGTCTGAGTGCATCTACCAATCTCCTGGGCTAGTTCTTTACTGTAAATCTGATGCTTTAAAGGAATTACTCAAAGTCATGGAAACACAGTTTGACTCAGAAGACCTTTGATGTGGTGAAACCCCAGGCTGGAATTACATCAGTGTGTTACAAATAACCAGCCAGAGCCTAGTGGAGCGTACAGACGTTTCTACAGAATATTGCTAGAAAAGAGAGAGAGCCACAGGAGAAGGCCTGTACTGAGGTAACACAACTTGCCCCAACATAGCCACTCAGCCCCCCAAAAGTCGATGAAAACAAGGGTATTTTACTCACCTGAAGTGTCTATCACAGTGCCACCCGCCTCTCTGATAATGACAGTCGCCGCTGCCAAGTCCCAGCAGTGTAACCCAAACTGGTAATAGGCATCTGCAGCGCCGGATGCCAGATGGCACAGAGCCAGGGTCGAGCTCCCAATGACACGGACCCTAAACCCCACGAGAAGGGGACACAGTAACGTAAAGCAGAAAATGCCTTTGATTGCAACCTACGTGTCGAGATCACAAAACGTGCAACGTACTTGGGGTTTTTTTTTTTTTGTTTGTTTGTTTTTTTTTAATGACTTTTGGTCACAAATGTGAGACATATATTGTAAAATATCTTACCCGTGTGCTTGGGCCTTGAGCAATCTTTCAATGTTACCAAGGAACAATTTCAAAGTTGCAGGGTCACGTTTTGGACCAATTTCTGTTAAAATTAAGGCCTTCGATATATCTGCAATGTAGGTAGTTGTTTCCGTTAATTCAACAGCTTCCAGGTAGATTCTGGAAATTTGTTTTTAAATTAAACACTAACGGACTTTTCACAGAAAAACAATTTTCATGTCCCTTTTTTTACCCCAAACTCTTTCATAGGATAAGTGACAACTTTGCATATAAATTCAAGCAAGACTAGATTTCTCATATCAAATGGTCTGATCTAAACACACTTTTAAAAAAAAAGAACAGGAAGATTAAAAACAAGAATGCATTCTTACATTCCTTCTCTTTCCATACATTGTTTTATTTCATTGACCGGTCAGCTTTTGGCAAATTCACTAACATTAGCAGTCAACTAAAAATAATCCAGTGACCTAGTAACTATTAATGCTGCTAATCTAATCATATTTGAAAACAGGGTGGTTCTTGAATAGGGAACTTCAATGTAATTTGTTAACAAATGATAAACATTTGGGAATACAGTAAGAGGAAAGAAAAGTTTCTACCTAAATCACCAGTCACCCAGTAGTAGCTCCCTTTCATTCTGACATTTCAAAGATGGAAGACACCTTATGACTGAAAAAACCCCTTTCTTATCACAAACTAAAGCAGTATCTTAATTAATAACATATGAATGTTGTATTTGTATTGTGTTCAGCAAGGGCAATTCTGACCTACAGCAGATGAGGATATCAGCCTTGTGTACAGTCAAAGGAGAGACTCACAGTGACTTGCAAGGGGTTGAAGTAGTCCCCATGTGAGATCTGAACATTGCTAGTATGTAACAAGCGTATGCCAATGTAGGTGGAGATGGTTGATCAAATGCCAAGCTTCTGCTGCGCCAGCTGAACTCGGAGGCGTTAAAGATATGACAAAACTCAAAGGTTTAGCGGTTGATTACTTACTAACTAGGCTGTGCCCAAGTGTCAGGTGTCACCTTCTACCCTGGGTTAAAGGCTAGGCATTCATTCAGAGAGGGAATGTCTACCTGGTTATTACAGCTAATTGCATAAGTTGAAAATCCGTAGCAGAAGTAGCAAGGAAGTTTTCAAAAGCGAATTAGGCTGGAGTGAGACATCATTTAATTAAACAGGCTACCAATGAATTTAGTATTGCAGAGGAACATTATGGATTCAAGCAGTGCTGTAAATGGTTGGTGAGTAACAGGTAGGTAATTAGATTAAAAGTTACAGGCTATCACAAAGCTTAACTGTAGGAACATAGATTTAACAACCACTTTTTAAATTACTGCATTAAAATACAGAAACACCAATCCAGGCACGCTGCAGGGTATTCGCTGTTTAGCCACCACTGAAAACTCTGGATGGTGAAAGCAATCTGCCTTAGATCTTTTTGCATAACAGACCCAATTTATAATTACAGAACATTTAATGCACGCCTCATTGCTGAAACGCACCAAGCATTCACACCACGCCAATCATAGCTAGGTCATGACTAAGACAGTTGTTCTTTTGTGTTATTAAATATATTTCTAATGCATAAATGGATCTCTTCAATTTTCATCAAGGCTACAGGTAGAAACTGGATGAAGAGACTAAGGCAAGGAAGAGGGAGGTCTCTGCTTCGGAAAAGGAGCTGGCTGATCACAAGACTCGATGCGGTTTCAGGAATTCAAGGTACAAGAGAAAATTTACTGACGACTACTCACTCTGATAGAGGCCAGAAAAATGAGGCTTGGTAGAAGAGATTTAACAGTGATATCGATAGATTTATGAGGAAAAGACCAATTCTGTTGACACAGAAGATTAAAAAAAGAAAATACACTTACAGTATTAGCACACGTAAGGCCTGACCTGAATCTAAACATGAGAAGAAAGTATCACTCAAGAACAAAGGGAAGATGGATCCTTCATTTAAATGTATCCTGACTGCTTGGACTCCCACACCAGACCTCTACAAAATTTGGCATTGACAAAGAACAGTGTTTGCCTGGACTGTGATTTCAAATGATTAAATCTGAACAATGAATGTATAGAGTAGATCGATGTTACACAACAGTCACATTTCCTGAAAACAAAAGGCATGAAGTAACATGACAGCCTGGATCTCCAACACATCATGCATTGGTGAAGGCTACTTGAGTTCCAGTGATAGGAAACACACTCTCTGTTCCAGGGTTGGTTTATTTCACTGAAGCCACAGTCCTTACAGGAGAAGAGCAACTGTGATTTTATACGCTTAGAACATCAATAGAAGTGAGGCTAAAGAAGATCCATCTTCACTGGTGAAATTGCCCACCACCAAATGATGTCTCTCAAAACAAAGGAAAATTCCAAAGCATTTGGAAAGGCAGAAGGTCCACTTCCCTTGCTATGTTCTAGACACCCACGTAGACTGGATGTCCAGAGAAAGAAGGACAAAAGTGGCATGTGCCAAAATTGCTCCTTGCTCAACTGGAGACCAGAACTCTCTGACTGAAAAAGCGAGCGAGGCCATTTCAAGAGTGGCTCAGCCAGCCCAACTGGGAGCACCCCTAGTTTTTCCTAATAGTCTCTGCCAGCATGGGCTTTTGTGGAATATGAGATATTCGAGCACTGACAAAAATGTGATGTATAATCAAGGATTAAAATCTTAGGGGTCACTGACTTTACAATTTGCCCCATCTCTCCAATCAATTTAGGTGAATAGCCAAACTTCCCAAATTTCAGGGAAGTTTTGATGCAGGGTCTGCTTGGGGCGCTACAACGAATCCGTATATTAAATTGCTTGAATTTATTGTGTTTCAAGTTCACTAAATTTCTTTTTGGGGTGAAATTTTTACCATCTCCTGTGTACAATGACGTACATTTTTGGCACATGTCTGCTTCTGTCTACAACTGAGTGTTATGTTCTCCTCTGCATTTTGATTGATTAAAAGAAGACTTCTCTACACACATCTGATTATTATCTATTATCATTAGGTAAACAGATAGATCTATGACTTGGTTCACCAATAAAAGAATTCCATTAAAGTGTTGACTAAGTGTTGCTAGCTATTTGTATGTTGAAACATACCTCACACACAAAAGCAGGCTGTTAAAGAACTCCTAATGAAGCATGCAGCCTTTAGTTTACTTTACAGTTAGCATTTATGCCTACAGACATAATACACTTTATGACGTACAAATTTATTGGAAAATAAGTGAATAACGGCTGCCATAGTACTCTGAATTTGATTCACCATTCCCATTGCATCTTGCTCATAAAAAGTTATGCCAGTGTACAGCTGGAATGAAACTGGTGAATCTACTCATTCTTCTTTATTTTAAACAATGTTATGAAGCAAAATAATTTAGGATTATTTAAATAGTTCATATTCAGATGTATATTTTAAAAAGAAAATGAGGAAAGTTGTGATTTTTCAGAAAAAAACAAACACATAACAACAAAATTATCATGCAGGTGAAATACTTTCCATCAGGATAATGATGTTCATTATCCTAATGATGATTTGCAACAACTCTGAAACAAAATTAACATATTCCTTTTAGAGTTCTAACAAAATCTAGACCAACCTGTCTCTTTTGATACCTGAAGCCTTTTGTCATTACAAAATGCCCCTTGACCTCTTCTACCAGTGTATAATCGTTCTTCAGTGCAGTGGTAAATTACACCAAATTCAAGCTTTAAAATTTTGAAAAGGAAAGAAATGAATGCAACTCAAATTACTCATCATAAATATAAACAACTACTAATGGAAGAAAGATCAGCAATATTTTAATTGGTACATGTAATCAAAGATTATATTGATGCTAATAAACTGGAATAATTTTACTATTACTGTGATATTGACATATAGGTCATATAAAATTCAGTTTATAAAGAGAAGTTAATGCAATCTGTTCGTGAACTCTTACTTGCAGCTTGTTTGTGTTCACATTAGAATGGATTAAATGCTAAGTTGATTTCAAATTCAATTGTATGTTTTTATTGAAAGTATGCAAGTCCTCTAAGGCCAGATTCTGAATGCTTTACTTTCATGGGTGAGCAGTTACACCTAGAAGTAATCCCACTGACTTCGGCTGGACCCTGAAGATTTGCAGCCCCAAATACATAGATATGATCAGTCAGGCATCCAAACTCAGAAGTCATGGCACGCTGTTTAGTAACAGTGGATGCTTTTATATGCATTTCACCTTTCATGATGCATTTAATTTGCCCGCCTTTTCAACCAAAGTAGTACGCTCCAGTCACTTGTTCAAACGTTTCTCTGCAAAATCCTTTTGTTTACACATAAAAGTGGGAATCTCATGAAGTCACATGACTCCAAGAGAAGGAGTTTGAAGAGAAATATCAAATATTGTGACCCTCAATGAAAGCTTGAGAATGAGCAACACAGAAATTTTTGTGGGGGTATCTGTTTACCAATGAGAACAGGGTCAGAATTTGACTCTTGATTTAAACCCAAGGTATTTAATATTTCCATTACTTTAATAGGTTTCACCAAAAGATTTTAAAGCACTTTACAAACTTGAATGATCAGCTCCTAAAATCACCTTAGATAAGTACTATTAGCAGTATTTTATTTAGGGGTGGACAGATACACAAAAATTAAGTGACTTGCCCAAGGTCACACAAGTTGGTAACAAGGTCAAGAAAACATCTCAGATGTTCTAGACTCCAAATCCTTTCCTGCTGCCCTCCTCCATTCAATGTGAATAATAATCGGTGTTCATCAGAGACAATTCAAAGGGAATAGACAGTCCTTGCCCCCTACCCCGAGGTCCCATCTAAACTGAGGTTTTTTTTGAGGAACACACTATTAATAGACTCCTTCCCTGAAGACTTCTGCAGGAATTTCTTCAGTACTGTTCAAGGCTTACATTCAGGCCAGTTCCCCTGTGTGTACTTTGGCTCCTTTTCAGCTTACTACTTTTTTTCTGCTTTTCCCATTTGTTTATTGAGGGAGATTTAACATCATTCTTTATTTTTGTTTCAGCTTTGTTTAGTTTACATAACCCAAAATATGCAGCATCAAAATCACGATGGTGTTCTAGAAAACATAAATATTAGAGAAAGCTGTCTGGTAATACTATGTAGTATTCAAAAGGACCTTTGGGAATGAATAAACTTCAGAAAAGCATGGAAGTGTTTCTCTGCAATTTCCATGTTTGAAAAGTCTAACTAGAGAAGTACACAACATTATTCTGTTTAAATCAGTAAGAGCCACTAGCACATCTGAAAACTATGTTGTTATTGCACAGATTTCTTGCTGGCTTCACTTACAGCTATACATATATTTAAGAGCGTGGAATTAGGCTGAAAGAGGCACATTCCTTGGCAATTTGAATAGCTGTTTCTTCTGTATATATCAAACTGTAAACCGGCAACGTTTGGAGAAAAGGCACTAGCATGAACGAGTATAGCTGGGAAACTCAAAACGGCACATGAAGGCTAGGTACTTTTTTCCCCCCTGTAATCAAGCTCTCATGTGGGAAATATAGTTATTTTACTACGTTAAGAAAACCACAAAGGCAGATTAAATAAACTAGGCCCATAATTTTGCACTCTTCATAGAAATCAGTTCTGAATTGCCTCATAGCAGCAGTTAGCTTTCACAGATACTGCTAGCAGGAAAGAAGGAATAATAATAACATAAGAACACTGGGAGATATGTTTAAATTATGAATAGGCAGCACTATATTTAACTCATTATGGTTTTGTCTTACAAAACCTTGCTCGCACCAGTAGTCCCTGTTTTCCCCCACATAAATCCTATAATATTTATAATAATTTGTAAAAATTGTCTTGTAATTGCCAGTTTGCGTAAGCAAGTTTTGCAGGACTACGATTTTAGACTTCTAGAGTATGATCAAATACATTTAAAAAGCATGGAAAAACTTTAGTAGTGGCTCATTTTTTTTCACATTTTATTTTATTTAAAGTTCCCACACGGTTTTGAGGCTTCTAACCAGCTCTCAGGTACCCATCTTAAAGAACATACTTCATACCTCTTTGTTAACAGCAAACCCAATGCTCACTGCCACTGTTGGAAATCTGTGAAAAATAAGAAATGAAGTATTATTGATGAAAAACCTCTCAACTTACTCCTTATGCAACTCCCTTAGGCAACAAAACACCACATGGAGCTCTGTGATTTTACTTGTTTCAAAATGCTCTTGACATTGTACTATTTCTTCTTTGTCAGCCTCTTTAACTTTGTCAGTTCCTTTAAAAATGTAATTTAGTATTGGAGAAGGCAAGAAATAAACACATGAAGATATTAGGATTTTTATACTAAATGTGTTGTATATTTTAGTGATCTTTTTGCTTTAGGGTAATTGAATTATCCAGTAAAAATCATTAATGTTGTTATAACAAGTCATCACTTTAAGAGCACATTTTGTTCAAGTTCAAGCATCTGAGACAGCAATTAAGTAGTATGGAGATACCTTGCTGCTGACGTCAACAGCAGGAGAAACCAGTTCCTCTACCCTCTCTTTTGTCAGTGATGATCATGTATTTAATTTGGTCCTTTTGACTAAAGTATAATTATTGCATTTTAAACGACGAAATAAATTAATTTCTTAAAAACATGTTTTAAAAAGGGCTGTAAAGTAAAGGTCCAGAAAATATTACTAGAAAGAGAAAATTTCACTTAATTGCATGAAACACCAGCACATGACACCCCCCCACCTCGCCCTGAATTCTATGTAATTGCACCAAAAGTCAAGGAAATGCTTTTTTTTTTTAATGATAACTGCAGTTATGTTAAGTCACTAACTATAAGGCAGAACATAGTCAAAGATTTTAAGTAGAAGTATTATGAATGGTCATGAGTTTACAACTCCTAGCACTTAAATGAAGAATTAAACTTTTGCATTTTTGCAGTAACAACACCTAGATTTCTTTTTGCAGAGAGGTATTACAGAAATTTAAAACCAATATCTATGTACAACTTCGTTTTCAGTTCTACTCTACGTATATGCAATGCTTGTACTTCCCAGGAAAAATGAAGCATTTGTATTTGAAAGGGAGAAAACACCACTACTCAAAGGAATGTGTAACAACCACATAAGGTGTTAGGCCAAGTGTCATCATAGCACAGCCTTGTTCCTCCAGTTCAGCTCAAGTCTCTGCACGTTAATGTGCGGTTATATGCAAACAAGCTGTGAGTCAAGAGCTTTGGGTCATTAAGCAATCAGCAGAAACTTTAGCTTACCTTTAGATAACAGTATAGAGCTCTCTCCAGCACAAACACACACTCCCTCAGATACACTACGGGAGGTACAAAAAGATAAAGGGATGACTCCTACTTATGAGTCAAAGGAACAAATCTACCACAGTAAAACACCTTTAAGCGGAAGGGAGGATTTGTGAGAAGCTACGTTTTGCTTTTTTATGTATTTCCCAGTTCACTGTCCACTTACCTGTGCACAAAGTTGCATGTTCCATCAACAGGGTCAATAATCCAGGTCGGACTGTCGGTGAGGACACATTTTGAACCAGCAGCAGTGGATTCTTCTGCAATAAACCTGCATTTGGTGTGGAGTGAAACAAGTGTCCCAGAAAATTGGCTTAGATATGTGACTTGGAAAGTCAAACTCCATCCTTCTGTTTTTGAAGAGATACTTAATTTATATATATATAAAATTTTTGTGTATGTGTGTATATATATAATGTTATTATGTGTGTATATATAATTTTTGTGTATGTATATAATATATGTGTGTATAAACACACATATTGCTTTTTTCATTTGGGAATAGGGAACTTTCATAGAAACTTTGAAGAAGACTTCTCAAATTTATAGCATACTATTTTACATGGTAAAAAAGAACTCCATTTATGTTCACTTTTCCAAAATACCATTAAGAAAATGAACGCAGAAATGGGTCTGAACCGGCATCCCTGGAACTCTAGAAGGAGTTTTTTTAATGCAGAATGTAATTTTATGGATTAGGTCTGTCTCTTGCAGTAAGTAATACAAACTGCAAACTGTAGCTGCTTCTTTTTTGCAATCAAATTCAGTCAGCAGGAAATAATGCACTCTTAGAAAATCCATAATCTCACTCCTGCTTGAATTTTTTACAGTAGTCTGACTCAGGAAATTAAAAGGTTTACAAAGCTGAACTTTCTTTTTCCCATGACCCAGAGAAAATCAACAAATTAATTTTTTTTGTTTGTTGTTTGGATGCACAAGGCACACATTGAAATCTGAGCTCATCTTCTGTTCTGTTGTTCTGTCCCAATTTCTTTCAGTAGATATGCTTTTTTTTCCCTCCCTTTTCCCTGGGAAACGAACATCCAGTTCTGGCACATTTCCTGCTGACCTTAATTATCCCTGCTCTCCCATAAACTGCTCAGGGTCTGTTTCTATGCAGGTGCTACTCTCAGATTTGAATAAAGTCCTGTATGTACAGAAGGTGTAGAATCAGACTGCTAGTACTGAATCTTGCTTTTGGTTTCACATTTGAACAACTGGTAGTGGTATTCAGAGTTCCTGCAAACGCTTGAAGATGAAAAAGCTTCTCTCGAAGACACAAAGAGAAAAAAATTGGATAAAATAAAGAGAAAATGTATTTTGCAGAAACAGTTGCTTCCCTAGGACTAGAGTAGCAGCTATTTTCTTTTGTGCCCTCAACACGCACCACATGATGCCACATAACGCTTGCAACCACGAGCTTAAAATGTTCTGCAGACATCACAGGAGGAGACTTCTTGAATTTTCCAAATGCTACTTTGGCCTTTCCCTCAGTAGAAAGGGACTATTTTGATGGCATTATGGGCTCCCAGTTGGTATGAAGAGGGAAGTAGGAAGTGTTTGTTACTATTTTCATCTCCATTAAAGATAACAGCTGAAGGACGAAGTGTTAGTGTGCCACCGAGAAACGAGAAAGACTTTAACAAGTGTTTGGAATTCTCAGTCAAACATAACACTTTGCAGACTCCTTGCTCTAAATATTCCATTATTTTGTCTTGTTGGTGCTGTATCATTTGACTTTTGCTTTTACAAATCTTGTAATTAGCACCTAAACCCAACCATACGCTTCAGCTGCGCTGCTGGCAGCAGAGGAAGCTCATCTTCGTGCAGATGGAGCGCCTTACATCCCATCTCAGATTGTCCATTTTCCCCATAAATTATGCCTCTGCTTCAACCCTCTGCCAGCTCCCTCAGCCAGAGCCTGAACCGTAGCTGTTGTCTTGCCAGTCAAAGAAAGGTAAAATGGGAACTTCTTTAAAGACAAGAGTATTTCTGTGTAAGGTGTTTTGCCCTCAAGTATCCTAAGTCTTTCCCTTGCCTTTTCCTTACAGCAGGGTGTGACGCTGCAGTCCTCACATACAGAAATGCTAACGTGAAGCTGGGGCACAGCAGTGCCATTGATAAAGTCTTGATGTCCAAGAATAATTTTTCCAAAACGAATGTAGGACAAATTAGGTGCACATTTTATGAAATTTGGGCTAATAGGTTAAGATAAGCCCCTTGCTGTTATACAGCACTGGGTACTGTGAAAGACCCTCAAGGCCAACATCAGGTATGTTGCTCTATGGCTCTCTGTCCTGTAAAAACATGCGAACTAAGCAAAACATTCAGCCTGAAGTACTGGAGACCAAATTTTAGGAACAGCTTGAGAAGTGGGAGGGGTAGCCATGTTATTACAGTAGTTAATTTAATATGCCAGCCTGCCAGCTCTGTTGACCTCTCTTCAAATCTGGATTAAAGTTTTCTCCCACTGAAAATGAGCCCAGTAATTTTAGCCTAGCCTTAGCGGACATCTGTTCATACCACAGTGCCACTCCAAAATTCATTGCTGGAACAGCAGAGAAACTAGCACAGCATAAACCGCAGAAGGAGTGATACCCAGTTGAGTGCAGGAGGTTCAAACCAGGGTTATCCCTCACCTATCCCCTTTACGGGGGTCTGAGGGCAGAAAGCCGGGCAGCTAGAGTTGGATGTCACCCTCCATAATGGCTGTGTCCCGATTTTAATGTCTGCACGATTAACAGCAAAGATGACAACTTGCGCAACAATAACACAGGCAAATGGTACAATAGCCTTTTTCAACCAGTAGCCCCTGATATTCTGGCTGTGCCTACCCACAGCTCAAAGATCTACGAGAAAAAATATGCTTTTGAAAAGACTCACTTGGAGCATGTCAGAGTAGCAAAGAGTGGGCAAAGGTGAAAACTTGGGTGAAGCATGAATGAGGATGATAGATATCACTTAGCCAAGCACAGAGAAGAAGAAAGAAACATGGGACAGAATTACCTTTTTAACAGGTTTTCCTAATATTTCTCTTTACATCTGAGTACATTTCCAATATCTCAAGACTCATCACTGCCACAGTGCAAATGGCACAGATTCTAATGAGATCGCTTTTAATTTTTCTAACTCCTAAGGTACATTTTTTGATTCAGAGAACATAAGAATCAAGATGAGTTAAGAGAAAAAGAAATAACAGAAATCTTCAGTGATGCTTTCAACAGCCAGGTTAGGGGAAAGACTGAACATAATTTAAATGATCTTTTAATGTTTTCATTGCATTTTAATTTAAACATTGATTGCTACTGTGGACTCCTCATTGCAAGTGTTTTAATCCAGTCTAGTTAAATCTAGTTTTAATCTGTTGTTTAATCTAAACGCATTCACTGTCTGAACAAACTCCAACCAAAACTAACAACCAATATTAGCAAAAAATAACTGTCTTGAAGAAACGGCAAGTCCTTCATTTGCTTATGAAGTCAGAAGTTAACTGTACAGAGTTAATAAAGTCAGAGATTTTTCAGTTCCTAGGTCTATGTTGACCTTACAACTTTTGTTCCCATTCTGAGTAACTCAAGTTACTTCTGATGATTCTCATTTTATGTGAAATGTGTATGTTTTATGTTCTCTGCCAGACTGTTCAAGGAAAAAAAAAACAACAGAAGAGTGGAGATGAGAAAAAAGCAGAGACAGCAGTAGTAGAAGGAATATTACACAAATAATAGGCTTGTAAAACCTGGCACTCTCTTAAGAATTGTGGCCAAGAACCACACGTTATGCTGTACAGTACTCTTCAATATGTGATCACATACAACACGTATTTAGAAAGCCATATTTAGCATAAAATGTTCTTTCTACTCCTTCTTACGGTGGTTTTTTTTCCAGCAGCATCGCCGACAATCAGATTAGTAGCTGAGCCCTCCAGTTTTTCATCTTTGTTGATTTCTGCACAGCGCTAGGGTGCAAGGCTCATCTCCATCAGAGATGCACACAATTAGAAGGAAGTCATACAGTATTTAAGGGATACACAGGCTCTGCACTGGCTCTGCAGGCAGATGACTTTTATCCTTGTGGATTGAAGTCAAATGTGGAAATTGATTGCAGAGTATCTGCATCAAACCAAACCCGGCCAACGAATACAAAACCTCTCTCTAATCTGTGCATGTGCTAGGAGTTGTTATTTTCAAATTGACCATAATAATTCAAGGGGAGTCAACAATCTGATCTATTTTTAAAACCTTGGGTTGACACCCCCTATAGTAATTTATATCCTGTTTATGTATACGCATCAAGTGATGATAAACAACCCTGCGTCTCACTGATTTTAGGATTCTACACAACACAAGGTAAATGTGATTAAATACGATATTTGTCCTGATCTGGCAAACGCTTATGTGTGACGGCAAAAGAAAGTGAAGGAAAGGTCTGCAGGATGGGATCTTTGCTATCATTAATTTCAGCTACATTTTAATAGATATCCTTAGCATAATTCTTATACAATAGAGAACAGATCAGTATTCTGAAAATCAGGGACATTCATATGAAAACTTCATACATGATGTCCCTACAGGGGAAACATTGCTATTAAATACATACATTAAGAAACAGAACTATTAGAAAATATACTAAGTATAGGGAAGTGGTACTTTTTTAGAAAGGAGTCCTATGAAAGTGTCCAACAGCAATAGGTTAATATGTAAGAGAGATATACAGACTTTTAAAATTACCTTTAAATGCCAGTCAGATATACAGCTCTTAAAGGAAAAAAGGTCATTGATAGTTTCTTTCTATAGGCACTCACCTGTGGGAGGGAAACTTCTCTTTCAGGACAGAAATAATTAAATTTTCCACAAAATGATCAGTTTCTGTCACTAGATCTGCTGCAGATGTCTTTGTGGACACTTGTTTTTCCTCTGTTAGAGCTTTCCTAATAATCTGAAACAGAAGTTTACAAATCAGATTTGTTGGCCATTCATCCTGTGCACACTCAAATAATACATTTACTGAAAAATTATAGCTAATCCTGAAAAACAACTGTAGGCCTAATTCTACCAGAGCCTGTTCTAATTCTTTCTGACTAAAAGTCCTTCTGAGATAACGAGTAGTCTTTGGGAACTCGGCATTTTGAATCACTCCGCAAGAACCTCTCTTGACAGTTCAGAAAAGGATTGATGAATAGGATGCAACTAATGGAATAAAAGGATGATGGCAGTCATCATGATTTAGGGAATGACAAAAAATACACATAGGAAAGAGCCTTGAGGCTCAGGAATTTTTCATGGAAACCCCTTTTTCTTTTTTTTTTAATTTACAGGGCCAATACCCCATTGCTCTCTTACTTTAAAAAACATGCAATAAGGCAAACCCCATTGGTTTCTTTTTTTTGCCAACAAAGACACACAAAGTTTATTTTTTCCTGTGTATATGGGTTTTTGGAACTTCGAGTGCTGACCACCCACTAGTTCCCAAAGAATTGCTATATATTTAACAAAAAACAAAAATTTAGACTCTTCCCCAGATATGGAACCCGTGATCTAACCCTGGATTATCTTCTGGAAAAGTCTTTATCTCCTTTTCAAGGGTTTCACTGTTATAAACTCAGAACTAAACCACATCAAGTGCAAATGCACATATGGAAAAACAGTTAATAAAAGCTTTTTCCCAATTTTCCCATTTTCTTTCTGTTTTTTTCCACTCCTTCATTAAAAAGAAAAATAAGGAGGCAGGATGATAATGCTCAACTTGCAAAAGGAGCTGACTTATTTTTTAACCAGTGAAAATGATAAACTATTTGAAATGAGGACAACCAAAACAAAGCAAAAATTAAGCACCACTTATTTGTGTAGAATTATATTAACTAAAACCAGCACCAGCAAGACCAATATTCCAAGTCACTTCTAAAACTTATATATTTCAATTGTTTAACTAAATTTCCATTGATCAAAATATTTTAAAACCATCTAAAGAGAAGCGTTTGATGACCAAAGAAAACAGTTCTGCTGTATTATGCATGGGAAAGGGAACCAGCAACTCCCAAATTTCAGTCTCAGCTCCTGGTTTTCGTAGTATGAAATACTATGTTTGAAGGCTGTGCTGATTGTTCTGACAAGTAATGGATCTTGCTGACTGTTGCCTTAGTACGGAAGGTATCTGGACTAACATTTCTGTTTCGTGAGCTGTAAAACATTAGTTATCCCTGTTTACTGAGCTCATGAGGGCAGCTTAATACTTTTTGGTTTGAGATCTTGCTAAAGTTCATTACTGTATATCAAAATATTAACCACACTTAATCTTTTTACTCCCCTCAATGCCCTGCATGGTTTTCTTGATGGTTTTACCATAGAAGCATAAAAACGCAGCTCTAGGAAGGCCCTTGGGCTCCTCCTCGGTCCAAAGCAAAATCCAAACCACTCCAACCATCTCAGTTGTGTATTCCAAAAAACTGCTATGCCGACACCTTTTATTTAACTTGTTCTTCTTTACTTTTATATTGCCTATGTATAAGTAAACGCTTAGAATTGGGCTCAGAACTTCACGTAGTCAAATAGATGAGGAATACTACTTCTCATTTCTTGCCTTAAACACTCCTTTCAATAGAGAAGAGCTGAATTTCTTTTCAGCAGTGCCATGTTCTTGACTCCTATTCAGTTTTAATACATAGCAGACTGAGGAGATTTTTGCAGCCATTTAAATCAGTACGTGCCACCTCTCAGTAGGGGAGTGAGATCACACCTGAGCCTTGCTGCAAGAAGAGCGGAGGTGAAAGATCTCTCCTGTGGATGTGCTCTGCAATCGGTTGCTTTTCATCATGTGCTCCGGCACCTGATCTCTCCATTTTGAACACAATCCTTTGCACCTACCATCACTGAATTTAAGATTTTTCATTTCTGATCCTTCTTCGGGTTGTTCATGACCATTTTTAACTTGATTCCTGTCCTCCAAAGTGCTCACCATTCCTCTCACTTTGATCTGTTTGTGGGTTTTATATGCGGGGTGGTATATACCCTATTCTGTCATTCAAGCCCTTCATTAAAATACTGAACATTTATCAGGTCCAAAACTGGATTTTGGCAGGATTCTACTTGATATGTTTCACCAGATTGACAGCTATTAAAAATACCCCGGCTTCCCAGAGGGTTCTGTAGTGGCCTTATGGTAACCAGATTCACAATGTGCTTACATGGAAATTACATGGAAAAACTCTTATCAAAAGCTTTTCTAAAAATTCATCACTTCTGTAACTTCCACTATTGCCCCGTAGCAGCTCACTGTCAGCAGGAGGTGGTTAGACTGGTTGATGTGCCCACCATCAAACAAAACCCACCTTGCCCGTTTCTCTGGTGACCTGCATGTGCCAACCTGAGGCTCCAGTCACTTTGGAGGTGGGAACAGCCAAGGGTGTGACTGATAGGACACGGTGGCTGAGGGCCTTCTCGCCCATCTCCTTGTCAAGCCATGCGGGCCCATGCCGAGGGGTTGTGACACAGATTACTCAGCCCTGCGACGGACTGCTTCTCCCCACCTCTTGTGCAACCGGTGTGTTGTGGGGAGAGCAGGAGAGAAGTCACGATGCTGTGCTGAAGTCACCAGCCGCAAATGGGCACCACATCTGTATTAGCTCACCCGCGGTACCACGTGATGCCGTGGGATGGAAGGGTCCCTGCTAATTCTCTGCCTCTTACGAAGAGTCTGACAAAAGGGACTCTCATGCATTTGCACCAGCTTGTACGGGTATGCAATCCAAGCCACTCCCACACAAAGATCACATTCCCTGCATCGTTGATGAAACAGCTTTTATTCTTCACAAATTTATCAAATAGTTCAGAACGGCCCAGAATTCAACTTATGTTGAGTAATACCTAAAAATCATCTGCCTACAAAGAGTGTTAGAGCCTGGTGCCTCAGAGTACTTCGAGAGCATCACTCAGCTCCTCTCCTTGCAGAAGCCTTACAATAAGGTTTGTAGATACCTACTGCAATTGCCTGGTCTTCCCAGCTGGGTGTGGAGCTCCATAAAAGTCTCCCTCTAGGTAACAGGCAGCAGGTAAGTGGAAGACCAAAGGAAGTACAGATTGATGAAATAAAAAGAGCTGATTGCTCCTTATCACTATTGTACAATTAAATTGGCAACCAAGATGCTGTATTTTGGCTGTAAATGTATTTTACTAGGCTTTACCACTGTATTATAGGTTGTCCCTAGATTACAGAGATTTTACAGCAATTTCTAAGCAGCTGATTTTTGGGAGCGTGGTTATTTAGAGCAGAGTCACTTAACAGTTTTAGCCCATGCTGTCCCTCCTCTAATAAAGAATTGGCTAGATCTTATCCTAATGCCCTGCTTGGGAGCATTTGGGGGGTTATGCAAAGCGAGAGGCATTTACACCAGTACATGCACGAAGACCACATCACAGAGCAAGACCCAGGTTGTCCCTGCTCCCTTCTTCATTTGCCACGGAGCAGGGGAAATGGAGCCGCAAGGGCTCAGTGCAGTCATGGTCCTGGACTCTTCCTTTCCTAAAGCCTTTGTGACATTAAGTCATACAAAGGAGAATGGAGAGGGCAGAGGGCTAAGATGCCTTCTCCCCCAACACCTGCCAGGACAGCCACCTACAGTGAGGTGCTTGCGTTAGATATTTCATCTCACCTTACTGCTTGCACTCACCACACACTTCTGGGAGCTCCAAGATGGATTTACTTGCTTGCAATATTTGCTCGCTGGTAAAATCAAACATCTAGATAAAAAGCATAACTACCTGCAAATAATTTAGGAAATACCAATCTGGTTTGCTAAAAAATCTGTCCCTGTTCCATAGAAAATAGCCTAACAATATCCCCTGGGAGCAAATATGGGGAAAAAAATCTTGGCTTTTTAGAATATCAGTGGAAATTTTGCCTTTTTTTAGTGGGATTATGCTAGGTCTCTTATACCTCATAAAATTATTTTCTGGGAAAAAAAAAGGGGAAAAAAAAAAGTAGTTTGTGTGGACTTCAACATGCTAGCTTCCAGTCTCAGTTTCTTAGACTTGTTTTCACCTGGATGCACATCCACTCATTTTGGTGAAGTTTCTCCAACTGTAAAAAAAGTAGTTGTGTGGACTTCAACATGCTAGCTTCCAGTCTCAGTTTCTTAGACTTGTTTTCACCTGGATGCACATCCACTCATTTTGGTGAAGTTTCTCCAACTGTAATTGCAGAGAACTGTGCAAATATTACTCAGTGCTCTCAATAGCATCAAAGATGCGGAGACTAGTTGTGCCTGCTTTTCTTTAGCAAAAAGTCATATTAAGGCAACGGGCATACTCTCATGAGCATGGCAAGCAGAGTTCACTCACAGAAAAAGCAGAAGAGAGGTTCAAAAAAGTGCAGTTACACGTGGCCTTACAGAGCAAATTAGACATAATTTTAATGCAGGTCAATTACAGAGATTACAAAAACATGGCCATTACCATTATGAAACAGCCATATATATTAAACGAGAGCCTGTGGTATTTCGTAAAAACAATAGAACTAAGTAACAGGACGGGCAAGAGAGGCAATGATTTTAACCTGGGAATAGAAGTTACTCCAGCAACATCACTTTTGACACATATTCAAACAATCATTTCTTTATTGGCCTTTTAAGTTTAGAAGAAACTATTCCAGAGCATAGATGCCTACCTGTTGGAAAGAAGATATATTTTACTTATGAAGCATGATGCAATATAAACCAAACAGTTGTGTAAGCCAAAAGGGGAGACCAAGAAGCTGTATTACTGGTTAACTTCTCCTAGAAATCCAAAATCTTGACTTGCATGCCTTTCTTCACGTTGATCTCTGCACCAAGACTCTTGTAGACACTTTCTAATGACACTTTCTAATAGCCTTCCTAACCCGCCATGGACCTGAGAAATGCAGGGCCTTAAAAGAAAGGCTCGACACTTTCTAATAGCCTTCCTAACTTGCCATGGACCTGGGAAATGGAGGGCCTTAAAAGAAAGGCTGGGGTGGCAAAATTTCATGCAGGGATGGAGACAGCACTCAGATCTGGGGAAACAGAGAGTGCAAGCAGATTTCTGGAGATGGAGACAAAGGTGGAGAGGTCTGAGGGATGAGAAGAGAGGCAGAAGAAAAAGATGAACTTGACCAGTGGAATTGGCTATTTTTGGTGACCAAAATAAAACTAAATTTTACCAGTCAATTTTCAACAAAAATACAGTCCCATCAAACCTATGTTACACTGCATTTGGTGTCCTTATCTCTAGCTTCTTTCGGGAATAGCTGGAAGTGGATTGACATTTAAATAAAAGATACAGCCCTATCTGCACCTTTTCTTCCACAAGGATCTCTGATGGTTTTCATAACTAAAAACATTCTTTAACAGCTTTAACAAAGTTAATAAAACCCCTACCCAGTTCCAAAGTCCTACTTAACATCCTTGACTGGTTTAAATTTGGCCTGCCAAGGAATCGGCCATTTCCTGCCAGTTGCAAGGTAGCGATGGGAAACTGGCAACTAAAAAGATGCAAGGATTAATCTTCTGGAAAGTTTATTTCTTCCAGGAAAAGGTGCTCAGCTGTGATCTTCTGGACGATTAAAATGGCTGGAGATGGTTATGGCTGTCTTCACAAATTGATATTTTGAGAAATAAGGTGTGGAAGCTTGAGCAAGTCATGAGAGCCTCTCTTGTGAAATGGCTGGCAGAATGAGTATGCTGGAGAAACTCCAGTTTGGAGAGTCTGCGAGAGCATGACCTGTCATCCCGATTTGGATTATCCGTTTATTCGTTGTATTATTGAAACAAGTCTCCTCTCCTCTGGCATTCTGTTCATCTTTGTCTGTCTTCTACTAAGAAGAAGACACGTTTAATAACACATACTAAGGAAAAGTTACAGGTCCGGGACTCAAGACAGAAAAGGGGGCTCCTTAAATGATAGTGTACAGGTACAAAGTGTGTTTCAAAATATAGCAGAATGGAAGCAGAAGAGAAATACGTGTTGCTGAGGTTTGTGTTTTACCCAATTTCTCATCTGAACAATCTGCTGATCCCACTTCTTGGCTCTGTTAGAGTTGGTGGAAGTTTTGCTGCTGCACACAGTGGGGCCAGGATGTCTCCTGAGATGACTAACCTTCTGCTGTGTCAAAACACGGATCTTAAATAAGCTACTGTAGATCTTCGCAGAGCCACTGCTGATTTATCTCTAGCAAGTGAATTTCAGTCACTCTGAAGACACTGGCATAACAAGAAGACAAAACCCCTCTGACACGACCATTTTTTTTTGCACAAGCTGCTAAAAAACAAATGCTGGTATTGTAATGGGTAAAATACACAATATTCTGGATAAGCGCACAACGGCATAAACCCTCAGCTGTACGTGGAATTCAACCTTAGCATCACAGCATGCTCCAAAATATGACAGTAGCAGAATAAACGCTTGGTGTACATTTGAAAAAGTTTCACCTTCACGCTGAAAAATCTTTCCACATTATTATTTTTTTTTTAATTAAATAAAACCACTGCCAGTCACAAAATAAATCTGCTTTCACCTGAAGCGCCCCCTCGTCCTC